GTGGATTAGTAACCCCATACGCTAACCACTCTTATAAAGTCCCCATGGCTGCTCGTTTCCCGCCATTTAATGTTTAATCTCAGGTACCTCTAGGTTAGCTTTGCACCCTCATAACTCCAAATACAAAAATAAAAACACAATACAATGACTTGCAAATCCTTTGTGACCCATATTTAATTGAATACACCACAAAGATAAGATATTAAATGTTCAAACTGATAAACTTCATTGTTTTTTGCAAATATTCACTCATTGTGAATTTGATGCCTGCAAACACGTTCCAATAGAGCTGGGACAGGGACAACAAAAAACCGAGAAAGTTGAGGAATGCTCAAAAAACACCAGTTTGGAACATTCCACAGGTGAATAAGTTTATTGGAAACAGGTGAGCGTCATGATTGGATATAAAAGGAGCATCCCTAAAGGCTCAGTCATTCACAAGCAAGGATGGGGGGTGGTTCACCACTTTGTGAACAACTGCCTGAGCAAATAGTCCAACAGTTTAAGAACACTGTTTCTCTAAAAAGTGAAAACTTTAATAGGCAGCCATTATGCATGTATTCTTTAGTTTTCACCATGCTAGAAGTGTTGCTAGTCATTCTGTCATCATGAACCTGGAAAATTAAGATTATTGCTCCAGTTAGAGTAATTAGGAGAAATTAGTCAATCAATCAAAGTGTTTGTCATATGCACAATAATGTTTCCTTGCACTATGAAATTCTCCCTTTGCTGTCCACAGTGAATACCAGACAATTGTGTCACCAGTACCTAAAGTTAAATGCATTATTATGTCTTGACTGTTTGATAATTGATTAAAAAAAAAAATCAGCATAGTGTATTTGAACAACTGAAAAATGGCACCACCAATATTAAGCTTATTTTGGGCCCTGTTTCATGGATCTATCCCTGGTGAAATACCTGGCTGTGCAGAATGGAGCTGAGGAAGCCAGCTTTGTCAATCTGCTTACAAGATCTGCTGATGAAAAGCTCACATTACTCCTTTGTTGTTTTTTTTTTTTTTTATCTTTTCCAAGTAAACAAGGATGTGGGCATTTTTGTGTATGTTGTCGCCCTAAACCCTGTAAATATCTGCTATGTTCCCTATTTTGTAAAGGTAAGTCAGCATATACATACAATTGTCTTGGTAGCTATGGCAGAATATTTTTCTACTGTTGTGTTTTCCCTCTTCTCGGCAGCCAAGGGGTATAGTTTTGTCTTTTTTTTTTTTTTATATACTCATTTATAGAGTGTATTTCTGACATGAAGGCATTCAGTCTCAGACTCTGTAGGGTCACTGTGTTGTACAGGGTGGGTGAAAAGTAACTAGGCATTACAAATTGGCTATAGAACCTGTAGTATCACTGGAGTCGTGATAAAAACGGTCTCTAAATAGATGATAGTAAATAGGGTTTCATATGAAATGAAGAAAAGGTCATTAAAACACCAAATGTATGCAAATGTGTGTGGACTGATGTCCACATACTTTTGGCCATATTGTGTATCTGTTGGATGAAGACAAGCTGATCTCAGCCTTTTTTTTCTACAAATGCTGTGTTGTCTCTTTAATATCATATGAAATCCTATTTACTATCGTCTATTTAGAGACTGTTTTCATCATGACTCCAGTGATACTACAGGTTCTATAGCCAATTTTTAATGTCTAGTTACTTTTCACCCACTCTGTATTTGCTCATTGTTGTGTATTTGTCTCTACAGGGAGGAAAATTCTTTGGTGGACCAGTTTGTCTTTGAAGTTCTTATCATATTTGTCGAAAGTCTGGCTCTTGCACACACAGATGAGCAATCTATAGGTAATAATTCTTCCACCTCAGCTTCATAGGCAGGACATGTCTTCTTGTCATGAAGTGCATAAATAGGTTGATGTGAAATGGATGAATGATGTATACCAGTGTACCTTAGACTTCAGAAACTGCTTTTTGTCTGTGTCCTTGTGTTACATTAATATAAATTATTTTTGTGCTTCATTACAAAAGCAGCACATTGATTCAAGATGCCTGTTTGTAATTTGACTGGCATTTATTATGTATTTATTTCTTCTGCTGAGAAACCAAGGTTCCATTGTTTATAACTGAAGCTCACTTAATTTGAAAATGTAGAAAGATATTCTAGCCACCTTTTCATTCTCAGGTACACTGCAGCAGTGTGGTAGTGCCATTGACCATCTGAAGAGGATCATCACATACAAGGCCCCCGCTCTCAGTCAGCACAATGCTAAGAGACGTGTTCCAAGGTTGGTACGCTGTGGACATAGGTATCAGGAGGATACTTGTAATCTATGTTAGTTTGCATACCTTAGCTCAGTTTCCCTCTCTCTTTGTCCAGGGGCTTTCCACCTGATAAAAAGCTGTGCCTGACCGATGTGGTTTTATGGCTTTTGGAACAATGTGGCCGACCTCAGACTAAATGTCGCCACAAATGCATGGAGCTCTTTTATGAGTTTGTTCCTCTCCTTCCAGGTGACCAATCCTATCAAAGTGCTTCATCTTTCAGACTTGCCCTGAGAAGAAAAAACAATGGATGCAATACGAAAAATACATGAACAATAGTTCTTTTTAAATTCAACACTGCATTGCCTTAATGGATCCATGGCTAAGCTCTCCAGAGAAATAGATGCTGCTGTTCTGACTGAAAGTGTTTTTTATAGACATGTAAATGATTTTTTTTTTCCTGTGTGTGACTGAACTCAGGAAAGAAGTCTCCATCTCAGTGGCTAGATGACATACTGAAGGATGAGGGTATAGTTTATCTGGTCTTGCGGTTCGAAAGCGGAGGTCTTCTCTCCCAGCCCACCCTCAGAGATCTGATGGGCCCTTTCAGTGTCAGAGCCACCCTGCAGTGGATGGACCTCCTGCTGGCTGCCCTCGACTGCTACACCACATTCATCCGCTTACACACAATCAAGCCTCAACACATGCTCTGTGAGTCCTAGTGCAAGGGGTGATGTTTGTACTACCGTTTCTAGCCATAGCATTACATCCATTATACTGAACATGGTGTAGTGGAATCATGATAACATCCAGCCTACTGCTCAGTGTTCTTAATGTTCCCATACTATAGCTGCTGCATCACTTTCTGGCATTCGCTGCTCCGTGAGGCCTGTGCTTATCATCTGTTTAACATCTACCCCTGTATCGTGATTACTGTATCTTCTCCCTTTACTTTAACATGAAAGCTCTTTTGGCATCGAATTGGCTTTGGACTGTTTTCCATAACTGTTTTTTTTCTTTCATTTCCAAGGCTCCAAAGACAAGTCAAGTTTTCTGAAAGCTGTTAATTTCTTTTTAACTGAGCTGGCTACTCGAGACCTAGTAGCAGCAGAGTGCTGCTTCCCTCTCAGAGAAAAGGCTTCTCACTTCAGCCCTAGAGAGGTGGACCAGTACAACTACAGCAAGTGTACCATCATTGTTCGCCTGCTGGAGTTTGCCACAATGATTCTTGTCAAAGGAGAGCAGGAGTTGTGGAAGGTATAACAAAATTAAGACGCTGACATTAGGAAAGTAATGACTTCTTTTTGAACATGGTTTTTGCTCACCTTTTCCTAACTTTATTCACAGGCTCTGGAGCAAGATATTTTTTGCGCAGCTTTTTTTGAGCTGACTGCACTCGTGGTGTGTGAGCCATCCGCTGTAGGTTTCAACGTGGCAGATGTGGAGATAATAAAAAACTTACCAGGGGTATGTGTTCCTCTGCTGAAGGCCCTGCTGACCTCAGTGTACCGTACTCGTCTTGAAAGCAGTTTGCAGACAAAGATCTCACGTAAAAGGTCTGTTAATAATCACTTGGTATTCTCACATAAGCCTCATGCAGCGGCTGCTGGTAAATTTGCTGGTAAATAAAAACCTATTTGTTCTCGTCTTCTGATGCGTTCTGAGTCATGCCAGTTTTTTCTTTCCCTCTACACTTCTTGAATGACCCCGTCAGTGTGGAGGAACTGTGTGCTGTGGACCTCTACCACTCTAGCACTCTGAGCCGCCATGACCAGATGGAGATGGTTCTGTCTTCTTGTAAGCAGATTGACAAAGCTGGCTTCCTCAGCTCCATTCTGCACAGCCAGGTATTTCACCAGGGATAGATCCATGAAACAGGGCCCAAAATAAGCTTAATATTGGTGGTGCCATTTTTCAGTTGTTCAAATACACTATGCTGATTTTTTTTTTTAATCAATTATCAAACAGTCAAGACATAATAATGCATTTAACTTTAGGTACTGGTGACACATTTTGAGTGTAGATCTTATGTGACTTTTCCTTGGAGTGCTTATTATGCATATTTTCTAACATTTGTATTCCCTAAAGGATTCAGGCTACGCCAAGTGCCTTGGGCACCGACTTCTTATGACGGTGTATAAAGGCATAGCACCCGGCGACGACAGGAAGGCACTTCCATCCTTGGACATAAATAGTAGGAGGGTAGCAGATGGCTTACTTCAGCTTGCCTTTTCTCTTAGTCGACAGGTCGGTACTGCTGCTTTTTAGATGGGCTTTATGAAATTGGATAAAATTTTGACTACCCATGGGGACAGATTACCAACGCTTAGTTTGTAAAAATATAGCCTACTTTATTTTTGTTAAATGTAATGGCAGTGTCACAGCAAAGAAAATCTAGACCTGTTTGACTGCTTGCTACCTCCTCTTGTTCTCCTGTTATGATTGTTCTGCAGAGTGAGCTGCTGGTGGACTTGCTGTTGAACACTGTCATGCTTTCTGTGCCGCTATCTGGAAGTCACAGCCACAACTTCCTGAGCTTCTCACATGGCGAGTATTTCTACAGCCTCTTCCAGGTGACCATCAATACTGAGCTGCTGAGAAGCCTTGACATCACAATACCACGTTTCATGGAAGCTTCCTCTAAGAATCCCAGCATGGTAGCCTTTTCACATTTTTAGACAATGACAAAAGAAACAGACTTTGTAGAAGTGCACATGTAGAGGAACATTTTCTTTTTCACCAGGTGAGTGTGTTGCTGAATGGCATGTTGGACCACAGCTTCAGAGAGCGCTCTGTAAGGAACACTCAGGGAAAACAGCTGGTTGATGAGGTGCTAAGAAGGTGGAATAGTCTGCAGTCATGGTGGGAAGGAAAGGCTTGCACTCCAGAAAGCAAAACTGCTACTCTTTTGCTGCTCTCCAAGCTCCTGCAGGTATAATACAGCTGTAGTTAGTACTGCATGTCCCCCAGCAAAACAAAGCCTTCATGTCATTAGCCAGAGACAGTTACTGCCAGGTTATTAAATAAATTCATTTATTATATCTTTGAGTAATAATCATAATTTGTGTCCTGATAAAACAAATAATGCAATTTTTGTTTGTATCACTTCCTGTAATGTCAATTTATTTCCTGAACATTTTTCCCTCTCTCTCATCAGATTGATTCCTCTGTCTGCTCCAGTGTCAACCATGAAGCGTTCCAGTCTGTTTTCTCCACATTCACTATGCTACTCATTGACAAGAATCTGCCGCTGAATCTCAAGGTAATGGGCATGGTACACTGTATGTTTTGGCATGGCATTCATACTAGGTTAGCACATGCTTTTAACCTTTTCCTCTTTGAGCTACTTAGTAAAGTGAATGTTGAGTCTGTGAATGTCTGACACTCTCCTCCGCTCAGAGTCAGGCTCTGTTGGTGTTGCCCTTCTTCACAACCCTCCCAGAGGAGCCGCTGGCCGAGCTGCAGACAGCCCTTGATTCCCTGGTAGCTTCGCACTTTCCCATGCAGTCTGATGAGTTCGCTAAGGGTTCGCTTCACCGCAACAACTACATGGACTGTGTCCGAAAGGTGAAGCCAGTGATACAGCTTTACCACAAGCTTATCATTAGGTTTGCCGCAATGGGAGGAAATCTGTAAAATTGTAAATAAGGATGATAACACAGAGATAAAGGCAGAGTATTTTTGCTTTAATGTTAATCACAGTGCACTCTCAACTTTAGGGAGGTTGTGTAATGGCAGGCATGGACAAAAAAGCTCTTTAATTCAGTGTTGAAAAACAAGTTGATGAAGCATTTGTTCCTTACTTGGGAGGTTGTAATTTTGCACTGTTATACCCCAGTTTTTTTTACTGGACAGATCTGAGTATGGAAGGAGTCCGTCTTTCTTGATTTTAGTGCAGGTTTATTTACACACTCTCTCTCTCTCTCTCTCTCTCTCTCTCTCTCTCTCTCTCGCTCTCTGTGTGTGTGTGTATAAATAAATCACGCATACAACATACACACACGGAGTTCTTCATTTTGTTATGTCCAGCTTCTCGAAGCATGCGGAGCATAAGATGAGAGACGAAGACGTCGGGACTGTCTCCAGCTCCTGATGTTTTTACAGCTGTCTGTGTAAGGGGCTAGCCCAAAACTGATAAATGTATTAGGCTCTGTGTTTCCGGGGGCTTTTTTCCAGGCTCGCTTTTCCAGCAGCTTGTCATATACATGTGTATGTGTGTGTGTGTGTGTGTGTTTATAAATAAATACAAGGATTACAGATCCCAACCCAGGGCTCTCTCCTTTAGACAAGCTGCTGGAGAAGAGAGCAGGGGACAAAGCACCCGGAAAGACCGAGCTTAATACATTTATCAGTTTTGGGCTAACCCCTTACACAGATGAAGTCCGTCCAGCAGTCTCCATCTCTTATCTAGAGCTCCACATGCGTGTAGCAGCTGCGTATTACCTAGTCATAACAAAATGAAGAATTCCATGTGTGTGTATGTTGTATGCGTGATGTGTAACTAAAACATTCATTCAGACATAATTCTTACACAAGATTAAAACAAGAAAACAATTGGTGTCATGGCTTACTGCTAACCTTGAAACAGAGCAGACTAGAGCAGACTTTGAATCTTACTAAACTACATTACTAACACATTGAAGTCTAACACATTGAAGTCTAATAATTATCTGACTAATTTATTAATTTCTAACAGCACCATGACAACAACAACCATTTGTACCTTGTAGTTGCTGGATGCCCTGGAGCTTTCAAAGAGCCCACTCCTGCTTCAGCTGCTGGCAGGAATTCTGTGTCGGGACAGAAAACACATCATGGAGGAACAATTCCAAACCTGTTTCCAAAGAATTGCAAAGCGGTGAGTAAAGCTGTCATCACATGAAAATAAGGCTACACATGAGGTTTGTTTCTTTCTTTATTAAGATTAGGTGTATCCTTTGGGAACTGCTGTGTTGAACATATCGAGGTGTTGTATTTAGATCAGGTATAGTTGTAGATACCCTTTTAGTGTAGATTATCAACAAAATGCTTGTGTCTCAGCTGTTCATGATGTCCAGTGGAAAAAAAACCTCAATGATCAATAAAGTACTCTTACCAATTTCATGAGAGCTGACAGACATGGCAGTCACTCAGGAGAGGGCATAAGAGAGTCATGTAATGTCCCACCTGTCCAATGAGGTGTGAACTGAATGATTTATGACCCCCTAGGCCACACCCCCTTCTGCCTTCGGAGAAGAGAGGAATATGAAATAAAACCGGTTTCTATAGACAAATATTTTTTATAAACACCTTTTAAAATAAAAACACCCATATATCCAATCCGCCTAATATCTGATTAGAGAAATTGGACTGCAGGCCATACCCCCTTCTCAGGTGCAGAAGGGGGTGTGGCTTAGGGGCCATATATCAATCATTTCACACCAGGTTTGACAGGCGTGGCATTATATAACTCTAGCATAGAGAAGTTGCTTTTATTACGGTCCCCTCCTTGTGTCTCTGATTAGGTCAAACGTTGAGCGGCAGCTGAAGCTGCTGTGTACAGTGTATGAAGTGATCAAGCAGGGGGACGTGCCGGTGAACTCCGCGCTGCAGGCCATGACGGAGAGGGTTCTGCTGCCGCTGGCCTCTCACTGCAGCACCAAGGCCCTTAATGACTTCTTTGTGGCAAATGTGTCTGACATTATTGCTTTGCTGCTCAGTCGCTTCACCAAGGTTTGATCCTTAACATTATTCCATAGATGTCACATGAAAGTGTTGGTACCCTGCCACTCAAAAAAGGAAAAACAACGGTTTCAGTGAGGTAATCTAGACATCGGCAGCATTTTCCAGCTCCTCCTGGGGTGCCCAAGATCAGGTTTAATAGGTTAGGTGCCTTCTCCCAGCTGTGAGTTTCAGATCTCTTCATAGGTATTCATCTGGTTTAAGATCAGGACACATAACGAGCCACTTCAGTCACTCACCCACTATGGGCCACTATCCTGTTGGAGGATCCTGTCCATGAGACACTGGACAATGTATCTTCTTTATCAGCACTTCTTAGGGGTTGCACTAATGTTGTTCAGGCCAGTTTAGATGGTCAGCTGTTTTCACAGCTTTTTTTATTGTGTGGCAAAGCAAAGCCATGACAGAAAAGCTTTCAGGTTCAGCCATTTCCAGGAAGAACAGAGTGTGGTGTTCAGTGAGGTGGAAGGGTACTGACACTTTCAGCCCCATCTCTAGGGAATTGTTGTTTTATTTAAACAGTAACCGATTTAAACATGTGTTTAGATGTGAATTCATTACTTTTACTGTGGTGACTATGAAATCATAGATAACTTGTTTCTAATGCTCTCCAAAGACATTTGTGCTGTTAATCAGCTATGTTTAGTCTTGAAATAAGAAGATTATTGTTATTCTGATCAGAGGACTACACTGGAGTTTTAAGGGCCAGTTTCAATTCATGTCAGGCAAGCGAGACAGCATTTGAGATCCAGCTGCTGAAGAAGAACGGCTGCTACAAGCTGATGGAGCTCCTGTATTCTCGGCTTTCCAAAGAGGAGGTATACTCCAAGGAATCCCAGATTAATCAAGCCTACTGTCGTTCAGACAAGACAGAAGGGAATGAGATGTCCAAGATCTTAATAAAGTAGGACTCCCAGACATCATAAAAAGTGACATGATGATAGAAAAGGACCCTACTTTTCCATGAATGAATAAGAACTGTTTTGGTTTCATGATAGGTCATGTTTTGAAGCATTCACTGAGAACATGGCTGGTGAAACTCAGCTCCTTGAACTCAGGAGACGTTATCACTGTGCTGCCTACAACTGTGCCATCGCTGTCATCAGCTGCAGCTTCAGCGAGCCCAAATTCTACCATGGCTTCCTCTTCAGTGAGAAACCAGAGAAGGTACTCCCTCCAGCTTTTCAGTGCCCAGTCCGCATGAATCACCGCAGAGCAATAAGTATCATCCTTCACATTGATGAGTTTCATGTCGTGTCATCTGTGGAATAGAGAACAGAAAAACTTGGGAGGGCTTCAGTGATTGTCTGTTTCTTTTCTTGCCCAGAATCAGTTCATTCTGGAAAATATCATTGATGTTAAAAGGACCTACAGCTTTCCAATTGAAATTGAGGTATGTTGTTTGTGTGTTTAACAATATACTTTGAGGTGTAGTTGTGGTTTTTTATTTTTATTTTTTCTCTAAATCGATGTAGGTTCCACTTGAGAGAAAGAAGAAATACATAATGATCCGAAAAGAAGCGAGCGAGGAGAGTGAAGGTACGCACAACAATGTTTTTCAGCCTTTAGAATTCGGCCGTCTTGGCCAGAGAGCAGTTGAAAATGCTCCCTTTTAAAATAAAATGTGATATGATGGGCCTTACTTAGACTACAGGTGATTACAGAGGTTTGTGCAACTCTAGCAGCACACCCCAACATTTTTAAAAGTTGTTTGCTTGTGTGATTTCTGTCGTGGTTTCCACAGAAGTGCCAGTTTACCTGTCCTCCCAGTCTTACATGGCTGACAGCAGCCTTAGTGAGGAGATGAGTCAGTTTGACTTCTCTACCGGAGTCCAGAGCTTTTCCTTCAGCTCCCAAAACCCAGAAGGGCAAAGACGCCTTGTTGGAAAAAGAGTTAGTGAGGTGCAGTTTTTTACTCTTAACGCTGTGTTGAGCTGGTGTGTTTTTGTGTTCCTGTGATGGCTGAGACATAAGTTATGTTTTATAATCTGGTTTTATTGGTATGTTTCTAAATGTAGGAGACAGAGGAGACAGTTCCCTCCCAAGATGCAATGGTGGATCTGGAGATGGATGAGCTAAACCAGCATGAATGCATGGCAACCTTAACTGCCCTTATTGGACACATGCAGAGGAACAGCATAACTCCCAAAGTTGAACAGGTCACGGTCTTCTTTTTAGATCTTCTTTACAATCTATCAGACTTTACTGTATATGAAAAGCTTTAAGTGACACAGAAAAACACACAATACTTTGGCATTTCATAATTAGATGCAAGTCACTTTAATTTGTTGCTGTTATTATCCATAAATATGACTGTGACACTGAAGGTGTATCACTCAACATGCTCTGGTCTTTAATGAAACAGGGATGTGTGCCTAGTGAACTTCCCCCATGGATGAAATTTCTGCATGGAAAACTGGCAAATCCAGCAACACCTCTGAATATTAGACTCTTCATCTCAAAGCTGATCATCAACACCGAGGAGGTGAGTAATGTTTTGTGTCTATACAAATGTATACAGTTATTGTGTTTGGAAATGAATGAAAACGCTGTTGTCTTTCCAGGTTTTTCGACTCTATGCCAAGCACTGGCTGGGACCGCTGCTGCAGCTCGTTGTCTCTGCAAACAACGGAGGAGAGGGCATTCATTTTATGGTGGTGGAGGTTGTGGTCACAGTGCTCTCTTGGACAAGCCTGGCCAGCCCTAAGGTTGCTTCTTTTTCTGGTTTAAAATGAAAAACTATGTGGCTCATTACCACCTTTATTCATGACCTCTGCTCAGCTTCGACATATGGCCTCAAATCACCTGTGATTGAAAGTTGTCATAGAACAGACGCACATTTAAGGGTGTTATAAATGTCCTTTAGCCAGTCTTACAATGTATTCGCATGTAAAGTTAGTAGTAGTATCTAGTGGACTATTGTCAGTAACAGCATTTTGTGTCTCAGGGTAACCCCAGAGATGAAGTACTCGCCAACCGGCTGTTTGAGTTCCTGATAAAGAACAGCTTCCACCACAAGAGGGCTGTTTTTCGACACAACCTGGAGATCATTCGCACTCTGGTAGAGTGTTGGAAGGACTGTCTGCATGTGCCTTTCAGGTAGCACAGACTCCACTCTCACTGAACAGCTGATGTGCATTTAGCTCTAAAATTAGTTCAGCACAGGACACAGTACTGCAGTGGTGAGGAGGAGTCAAGTCGGTGCTCCTCCTTTTACTCAGTTGTCTTTGGAGCTGTTCATATGAATATTAGTGGCCTGCCATTGTGTAGTCCTGTGAATCACTAATCTGCAGAAAATAAAACTTGTACATCTTTGCAGGTCTATACAGTAGATGCACTGTTCCCTGGCTGCTGTGTGGCCCATTGCTTAGTCCAGCAAAGCAGCATCAAAAATGTCCTTGAAAAGTCACTGATATAACACAGCTGTTTATACAGTATATTCTTTATATGCAAGAGTTTTTAAAAATGCATGGTTAAAAATGATTTCACCATCATTAAAATGAGTATAACCAGCTTTATGATAAGCTACTATTAATTTTCAAGTTTGTCTCATTAATATGAATCAAATTCTACCTGAAAGTTAAAAACCTGATAAAGTTTGTGAAACTCGAGTGTCATGAGCCGCGAGGATCCAGACACAGGTATAAATGTCGTCTTGTAAACTGAGTTTTATGAAAAGATGACTTCAGTTGACTAGTGAACAAATTTAGTATAATTTGAAGTTGGCAACGGTTCAGAAGTGAAGAAACTTCTCAAATGAGAAGTGACACATGTTTAGAAACCTGAAGCAAGTCCAGATTCCAGCTTTAGCATTTGGGATTCAGCTCTGATTGTGTCCTGATCCACTGTAAAAAGAAAGGGAAATGCAAAACAAGTGCTGTTTATAACTGTTTTTTAATGTCTCCGCCCCAGCGATAGGCATGGCTGGAGGCTTTATGGCTTCAGGTCATCTGTCCTGCCTGTTCTTGTGAATGTGAAATGCCATGAACACCCTGAGGGAGTTTTTTCAAATTTGGCACAAGTCTCCACTCGGACACAAGGATGCAGTGATTAGATTGTAGTTGAAGGTCACTGGCCTCGCGTCTGTCAAATTCATGGATTTGACTGTTCGGCAGAGACATACAACCGCCATGCCACGATTGTAGTTGAGTTTTGGGTGATTTTGCAAATGGCATTTCAGCCTCCACATTTTAGTGTTTCTGACGATGGGGAACATTAGAAAATTATGATGATTATACATTTGCTAGCGTACTAGATCTTATATATTCTCAACTAAACAGAGTGGAATTGATCTGGCCCTTGGCCTTCTCTCTGTTCTTGCCCTTGTAGTCTTGTATATGAGCAGTTCTGTGGCACTGACCCAAACAGCAAAGACAATTCTGTTGGACTTCAGCTCCTGGGAATCATCCTGGTCAACAGCCTCCCCGCGTATGAAGCCTCATGTGGAATCGAATATGAGAGGTAAAATGCAAAGTGTAGCCAAATGTCAATACTGATTCACCTGATGGCTTTTTTTGGAAAAATCTAATTTAACTTACTCACACAAATGTAAGTAAGTGTGTTTTTGAAGCTGCATGTTCAGGTAGGAAGTAAACAGCCAGTAAGAGAAATATGGAGCAGTATATTCAGTTTATAGTTGTTATTTTTTGTTTTGTTTTTTTAAACATTGTAGCTGACTTGCTGCTATCTTGCTAAATCTTTTAAATCAATTCTGTGTGGTGGTTTTTACAGGTACATCCAGGCTCTCACTAACAACCTGTCCTTTGTGAGGTATAAAGATGTCTACTCAGCTGCTGCTGAGATTGTCGGCCTCGTCCTGAAGAATATGACTGACGCGGGAAAGGTATGGTCCTTCTCTCAGCTTTTTTGTGTTTGTGGAAAAAAATCACATGGAAAATAAACATTTTCACAAGATAATACTTGGATAAATTCATTATCTCCCTCCCTCCCCTCCCTCACTGCCTCATGCAGACACACTGCCACATTTTACAGAGATATCAGTGCTCCGTATGTGCAACAGATCCAACAGTGGTGGCGAGAGTAACTAGTCAAACAGTTGTTGGAAAAGGTGAACACAAAAGCAGACTTGCATAAATGCGATGTCTCCACTCTCCCCATGGTCCTCTTCACCCGCTACGCCCACACACTGCTAATCATGCTGACTAGCGAATTGATGAGAGCAAAAAACAACACCCAGACCTTCATTTTATGTAGTTAAGAGCAGAGTCTGATTAGCTGTATGAACATGAGTTGAGTCCTTGTAGATGTGGAGGCTGAGACCAGCAGCTCCTCTGCAGCAGTGCATGTATGAAGCCAGCAGACAGGACAGGATGAAACCACAGACAGAAGCCAATTTAAAGTAAGAACATGTACCTTCATTAAAGTAAACATTTAAATAGCTGACTGTGATATGTGCTCCCAAAACTGTGAAAATGATGTCGTCCTAACGGAGGGTTGCGCTCCTGCAGTGCTATAAACCACTGTACAGATGCTGTGCAGTAGACTACAGACCTTTAGTGAGTTGCAGTTACCTTCAATGGGAATGATTTTGTTTTCAAGTCTGCACAGCCTCCTGTTATATTTTATTTAATCACAATCAGAAGATAAATCTCGTGATAATAAAAATGGTCTCAAGTTTTTTAGTTCCAAAGAGGAACTGAGGAACATTAATTTAACCCTGGGGGGTGAAATCTGGGATTGTGTCTCATCGGTTTAGATAAAGAATCGAAGGAAATGTTCACTGCAGTCATATTTTGCTTCTGGGCCGTTTGTGGAGTCGACTGCTGCACTATGATAAGTCATATTTTGAGTCTGTGGGTGTGAAGGCCTCAGTCCTAGCCTTTACCATCTGAGGGCCTAAACCACCAGCCGCAATGGACTTGGGTGGGTGATTTCTCTATAACTTAACCTACACATGTGGGTTAAGTTATAGGTAAATATTGTTTAATATTGGACATACACAATTGATCAATAAGCATGCACGTTTGATTAATTTTGTATTGTTAATATGTACAAATTTTTTTTGGGTTACCGTGTTTCGTGGTCCATGGATGAGGGGTGGTTCAGCTGAAAGACTGGACTGAGGAAGCAGCACGTTTAAATACCTCCCACTAGGCCTGGATTGCACCAAGTGCCCAATACAAGGAAGGGGGGAGTTTGGGAGAAATTTGTTTATTTGTTGGTAGTTTATGTTAGAACTTTATTTGTCAAGTTATGTTAATTTCTTCACATTTAAAGCAAATATTTAGTTGCGAGCAGACTGTTTTAGTGTTTATTAGTTGATTATTTTGATAGTGTCTTTGGTCTACCCCTTGTTTGTGCTATTGGTTTGGCCAGCCAATATATATGTTCCCCCTGTGTGTGTCACTGGTTAGGTCAGTTGGTTTCCAGGGGTGGCCAATTCCAGTCCTTGAGAGCCACTGTCCTGCTTATTTTCTAGCTATCCCTGCCTGACCTGCTGCTGATTACCTGGCTCATGTGTGTTCAGCCAGTCAGAAGCTGGAAGATACCATCTTAGATGAAAGTGGAGTGAGGAAAGATAAAGTGAATGGGTATCTTCCAGCTTCTGACTGACTGAACACGCCTGAGCCAGGTGATCAGCAGCAGGTCAGGCAGGGATAGTTGGAAAACAAGCAGGACAGCGGCCCTCGAGGACTGGAATTGGCCACCCCTGTTTCAGTTTGCTGTATTTTGAGTTTCCTTATCTTTTGTTGACCTCTTTTAGGGCCCAATTTATCTGATGTTAATGTTTGTATTTTTCCTTACTTTTGGGTTAATAAAAAGCCCATTGTTTTGAACTTTGAAAGCTGTGTCTTTTGCCTTACTGCTTGGTCCCTGACAGTGGGCATGTTTTCAGATGATATCAGAAAAATATTTGGCACACTCTACTTTGACACATTGTTATTGTTTAGTATTTTGCCAGACAGTAGCTCAGATGCTGGTCGGACACCTGGAGTTTCTTTTTTCCAATTATACAGGGTAATTCAAAAAGAATGAACCGATTTCATTACGCAATATTTTATTAAGAAAAAGTAATGCAAAACTCCAGCCAAGTCACAAGTATTCTACTCATAATCAACTTTTATTTCTTGTCTTACAGGTGTTCAATGTGGCCACCACCTGCAGCACGGGCAACATCAGTGCGATAAGAGAATTTCCTCTCAGGCGCGTATTAGCATATCACGATCTACCGAGTTGATCGCTGTTGTTATTCGATATTTAAGTCAGCCATTCAAAACTTAAATAACTCCTCTTTCAAATGGTCACTGACTCATTCCATGACAATGCTTGAGAACTGAAGCAATGTGTAATGAAATCGGTTCATTCCTTTTGAATAACCCTGTATTATCCTGTCCTGCACCAATAGTGGCATTAAACCAAAGCTGAACTTTGATTTTAGGTTTCTATCTTTGTGAGGGGCCGCTGTGTCAAAAGTATTGGTGCCAGTGGGACTGAATGCTTTGACCAGCAGGGGGAGCTTCATCTGTACAAAAGTCAGGACCCACTGGGTTTGATGGACACATCAGTTAATCACGTTAAAATTGCTCATAGTCTATCAAGATCAGATTTATGAGCCGTAAAATACGAGAAGTCAGACAATTGATTAAAAACCTTGTTGTATCTGTGTATAAGTTCACAAATCACTAGAGTTGATGGTTCAAATATTACACAGCAGTGACACAACTTGTATCGTGTCAGTGAACACAGGTTTACAAGTAAAAAGATCACAGTGAGGCCCTCACCAAGTCCTGTGAGCTGTGGAGGACATACTTCATAAAAGCTGTTCCATCTAGTTTATAGGTTAAAGTAACTCATTTAAACTGTAGTAATCTGACATTTTAGTCAGGGGCTGCTCCCTGAGGACTGTGCCAGGTTCCTTGCCCGTTTATGTCCCTCACAACCTTGTTTCATTGTTCACTCTTGTCTCAGCAGCATCAAGATCTTCTCAGTCTTGCTGAAAGCAAGATAACAAATCTAAAGAAAAAAGACCTGGATGACAAGTTCATTATTTGCTTGAACAAAGTGTCAAAGCACTATCCTCCATTTATGGACCGGTGAGTTTGTTTTTCCCTGCAGAGGTCTTTTAGTCATTTGATGTAAATTGCTTTTGACCCTACCAGAGGGTTAAACCTGTCCAGTTTGAGTCTAGTCATTGACTGATCTACTCAGCTAACTGCTTGATGTTTCTTCAAATGTTCAGGTTTGTCAACTACGTGTTCTCCCTCCTGCCGAAGTTGCATGGCATCTTAAAGACTCACTGTTTGGAGTGCGTGCTGAGTCGGGCCGATGTCATCCCAGACATCTTTCTGCATTTGAAGACCACAGGCTTTATCCAGTTGCTGGGCCACAGGTGCCTCTACCTTTATTCTTCTCAGTGGATGGTTTTTATTGTTATTGTTTGTCTTTAGTCTATACAATATACAGTTATGGCAGGAAATCTGTTGACTTGATCGACTCACAAGGTTGAGATTGTAAGCTTGTGTGGTAAGTGTAGGGGGCATCGGAACATGGCCGCCCACAGGAAGAAGACTTTTGTTTACCATGTTACCACGAGCATTTGCTAATATTCACCCTTGACTTTGGGCCACAGTTACAAATTGTGGGCTGAAAGCTTGAACAAGCCTCCAAACATGGCTGTATAGCACACACCTACAGTGGGGCAAATAAGTATTTGATACACCGCCGATTTTTCAAGTTTTCCCACTTAACAAAGAATGGACAGATCTGTAATTTTTATTGTAGGTACACCTCAACTGTGAGAGACAGAATCAACAAAAAATTCCAGAAAATCACATTGTTAGATTTTTAAATCATTTATTTCCATTTTATTGCATGAAATAAGTATTTGATACAATAGTAAAATAGAACTTAATATTTGGTACCGGAACCCTTGTTTACAATTACAGAGGTGAGACGTTTCCTGTAGTTCTTGACCAAGTTTGCACACACTGCAGCAGGGATTTTGGCCCACTCCTCCATACAGGTCTTCTCCAGATCTTTCAGGTTTTGGGGCTGTTACTGGGCAACACGGAGTTTCAGCTCCCTCCATAGATTCTCTATTGGGTTGAGGTCTGGAGACTGGCTAGCCACTCCAGGACCTTGAAATACTTCTTACGGAGCCACTCCTTAGTTGTTGCCCTGGCTGTGTGTTTGGGGTCATTGTCATGCTGGAAGACCCAGCCACGACCCATCTTCAGTGCTCTTACTGAGGGAAGGAGGTTGTTGCCCAAAATCTCACGATACATGACCCCATCCATCCTCTCCTCAATACGATGCAGTCGTCCTGTCCCCTTTGCAGAAAAGCACCCCCAAAGCATGATGTTTCCACCCCTATGCTTCATGGTTGGGATGTGTTCTTGGGATCCCCGTGTAGTTCTAGGGTGATCCCTCACCTTTCTCAGGACCATTGATACTCCACGAGGCGAGATCTTGCATGGACCCCCAGTCCGAGGGAGATTGACAGTCATCTTCAATTTCTTCCATTGTCTAATAATTGCGCCAACAGTTGTTGCCTTCTCACCAAGCTGTTTGCCTGTTGTCCTGTAGCCCATACCAGCCTTGTGCAGGTCTTCAATTTTGTCCCTAGTGTCCTTAGACAGCTCTTTGGTCTTGCCCATAGTGGAGAAGTTGGAGTCTGATAGATTGAGTGTGTGGACAGGTGTCTTTTATACAGGTAACGAGTTCAAACAGGTGCAATTAATACAGGCAATGAGTGGAGGATAGGAGGGCTTCTTAAAGACAAACTAACAGGTCTGTGAGAGCCAGAATTCTTGCTGGTTGGTAGGTGATCAAATACTTATTTCATGCAATAAAATGGAAATAAATTATTTAAAAATCTAACAATGTGATTTTCTGGAATTTTTTTGTAGATTCTGTCTCTCACAGTTGAAGCGTACCTACGATGAAAATTACAGATCTGTCCATTCTTTGTAAGTGGGAAAACTTGAAAAGTCAGCAGTGTATCAAATACTTATTTGCCCCACTGTATGTGACCCCCGACCAATAACCCTAACCCCTGTGTCGGGGCTGCATTTTAACACAGTCTGCCTACTTAGAAAATAATTCTGTGGTTTTTTTTTATTGCCACTTAGTGCCATATAAAACAAATGATCTGTCTGCCTCTCAAATTAAATACAAACTATTTGTGAAGAGCAAACCCTGAAAATCAAGAGGTTTGGCACTGAGGGTGTTCTCCCTTCAGTAGGTAAAAACGACTGTTTCTTTGTGGCGTTTCTTGTCTTCTGCACATCGCTGTGCTGTGCACTCAGGGACGAAGCCAGGCAGAGGGTGTGTCTGGATCTCATTCACAAGATTCTTAGCCGTCTGAGTCCACCTGAGCTTCAGGAGCTTGTGGGAGCCATAACGGCCTTTGTCTCCCATCCTTCGCCGGTGTGCAGAGAGAGGATGTATGACATCCTTATGTGGATCCAGGACAACTACAGGTATTATGAGCCTTACTGAATTTTGTTTCTTTTGGTTTTTGCATGATGTGACAAAGTGTAGCAGTGTAAATTAGCTTTCAATAAAATGATCTGACCCAGTGGGTGAGTGTATATTATAAACAATCTACAAACATATGGAGCAAATTAAATTCCATGTAGGAAGACTAGCAAATGGTAGAAATGGTGGATTGGTAGTTCCACTGCTTCTTATGGTCCCTGGACAGTGTTATTCATGTGCAGTGATGGGCCTAATGATAAAACTACACTTTAATGATAGGCTGAATTTTTCTTGTTTTGTTCTTAGTGACACAGAGACCATGGAAGACGACACCTCAGTAGAGATTTTGAACACAACTAAGGAAACGCTGCTACAGGGACTTTCTGAAGAAAACCAGGGTCTTCAGTAAGTATTGCTGTCTTCATGATATTCTTTGTTACATTGTGCAGAGCAATGTAATCGCAACAGTTCACAGTACAATATTCAAATTGAAAAGACCATCAACTTTATCTTTTCAGGCTTTATGTTCAGAACTTCTGGAGCCAAGAGAGACGTCTTCCTACTGCAACCCTTGACCGCCTGCTGGCAGTGCTTCGTTCACTGTACTCCTGTCAAATAGAAAGGAGTTTCTTAAGCTTGGCTACCAATCTGATGCTGGAAATGACCAGTCAGAGTCCTGACTTCACACGAAACATGTTTGAGTATCCTCTGTCAGAGTGTACCTTCCAGGTCAGTGCACTGTAGATCAGCAG